ATAAATCAGGGCATGGATGCTGTTTCACCCGTATATGCAGGACATGCAAGCTGGCAAATGTCCAACTGGGAATATGCCCCATCGGACATCTAGATGGTGAAACATTATTCAAAATTCCAAAAAATATTTACTGTACTGAGGGAATAACTATTATTGATCGTGACTGATTAAGTAATTAAGTGATCAACTCTTTTATGGTGTTTAACAACTTCCTTATGATAAATTACTTAAACGGCCTCGATTGACTTTCTTAATCTACATGATTTCCTTAATCATGAAAACAATTTGTGGTTTTTCCTTCGTCAGACATTTTAATCCCCATGATGTCGGTTGACGAAATGTTAAAAGTAGTCAAAGATTAGTCAATGTAAGCTAACTGAGATTCAGTTTACGATGTAAGTAATTATAGTCTGATCCTTAATGTAAATCCGTCGGCTTTTCGGGTAGAAATCGTGGAACAAGTTTTATTTTGTAGGTTTTGATGTTTGATGTATATCGTCGTCGCCCCTGTCCGTCCGTCCGTCCACAATTATTTGTGAACAGTCTACAGGTCACAATTTTTATCCGATTTCAATGAAACTTGAAATATAGGTTTATTACCCTAAGATCTCGGTTCCTTTTCGATATTGGCATGTATCGGACTGTAACTTTATGAATTATGGCCCCTGATTGTTGGAAAAATCACGTTTTTAGCTTGTGAACACTGTAGAGGTCACAATTTTAATCCGATTTGGTTTAAACTTGAAATGTATGCCTATAACCCAAAGATCTCGGTTCCTTTCGATATTCGCGCATATCGGACCGTAACTTCCTGAATTATGACCCCTGATTGTACGAAAAATTGTGTTTTTAGCTTGTGGACCCTATAGAGGTCATAATTTTTATCTGATTTAAAAAAAACGTATTAATTATATCACCGTTACACCCTGAGTTTGAATTTCGTGAAAATCGGCCGCCCATCGTTCTGAAATAGCGTAAAAATATGGTATATCAAGGTTGTGGACCCTATAGAGGTCACAATTTTTATGGAGTTCGAAGATGAGCATTTTAGGCTTAGGGTAAGCAGAGATAAGCAATTTGATTGGTTGATGCTTTGGGACACGATACCTTTAGTTCTAATTAAGTGAGAGTGATGAAACTTGGTGTATAATTTCATTACATCAATGCCTTGACTAAGTTTGATAATGAGCATTTTCTGCTCAGGGTAAGCAGAGCGATAAGCAATTTGATTGGTCGAGACTTTGGAACACAATAACTCTCATTCTAATTGAGTTAGAATGTTCACACTTGGCATAGGTGTCTACTAGGTGAATGCCTTGATGGAGTTAGAAGATGAGAATTTTCAGCGTAGGGTAAGCAGAGATAAGCAATTTGATAGGTTGATATACACGAGACACAATAACTTTAGTTCTAATTAAGTGAGAGTTAGGACACTTGGTGTATAGCTTTATTACATCAACACCTTGACTAAGTTTGATTATGAATATTTTCTGCTGAGGGTAAGCAGAGTGATAAGCAATTTGATTGGTCGAGACTTTGAAACACAATAACTTTCCTGCTAATTGAGGTAAAATGATTAAATTTGGTGTAGGCGTTCATAAGGTGAATGCCTTGATGGAGTTCTATGATGAACATTATCTGCTTACGGTAAGAGAAATAAGCAATCTGATAACTTTGGTTATAATGAAGTGAGAGCGATGGAACTCTGAATATAGATTCATTATATCATTACCTTGACTAATTTTGATGGTGAGAATTTTCTGCTTAGGCTAAGGCTAAGCAGAGCTAATCAATTTCATTGGTCAGTGCTTTGGGACAAGATATTCTTGATTCTATCTGATACAGAGTGATGAAACTTAGTGTATAGTTTGATTGCTTGATACTTTTGAAAAAAAAATAAATGTGCGATTAATTAATGTGTGTCATCTATTTATTTTGGGATTTCGGCGGGGGACATCAGCCTCACTGTTGGCTTGTTGAAACTTGAAATGTAAGTTGATAACCCAAAGATCTCGGTTCCTTTCGATATTCGCGCATATCGGATCGTAACTTCCTGAATTATGGCCCCTGATTGTACGAAAAATCACGTTTTTAGCTTGTGGACACTATAGAGGTCATAATTTTTATCCGATTTAAAAAAACGTATTATTATATCACCGTTACATCCTAAGGATGGCTGAATTCGAAGTTCGTGGAAAACAGTCCAAAATTGACAGACAAAATGGCCACCGTTCGTTCTCAAATAGCGTAAAAATATGGTATATCAAGGTTGTGGACCCTATAGAGGTCACAATTTTTGTACGCCCACATTTTCATGTGGACGTATTATGCCGTCGCCCCTGTCCGTCCGGACGTCCATCTGTCTGTCGGTCCGTCCGTCCGTCCACAATTTGTTTGTGGACACTCTACAGGTCACAATTCTTATCCGATTTTAACGAAACTTGAAATATAGGTGTATCTCCAAAAGATCTCGGCTGCTTTCGATATTAGCATGTATCGGATCGAAACTTCATGGATTATGGCCCCTGTTTGTATGAGGTCACAATTTTTATCCGATTTTGTTGAATCTTGTAATATAAGTTTATAACCCAAAGATCTCGGTTCCTTTCGATATTCGCGCATATCGGACCGTAACTTCCTGAATTATGGCCCCTGATTGTACGAAAAATCGTGTTTTAGCTTGTGGACCCTATAGAGGTCAAAATTTTTATCCGATGTAAAAAAACGTATTATTATATCACCGTTACACCATAAGGACGACTGAGTTCGAATTTCGTGAAAATTGGCCCAAAATTGACAGACAAAATGGCCGCCGTTCTTTCTCAAATAGCGTAAAAATATGGTATATCAAGGTTGTGGACCCTGTAAAGGTCACAATTTTTATCCAATTTTGTTGAAACTTGAAATCTAAGTTTATAACCCAAAGATTGCGCATATCGAATTGTAATTTCCTGAATTATGGCCCTTGATTGTAGGAAAAATCACTTTCTTTTTAGCTTGTTCTCTATCCATCTCTCGAAAATGTGGGCGTATTCTGCCTGGCCAGCCGCTGGTTATCCGATTTTGTTGAAACTTGAAATATAAGTTCATAACCCAAAGATCTTGGTTCCTTTCGATATTCGCGCATATCGGACCGTAACTTCCTGAATTATGGCCCCTGATTGTACGAAAAATCGCATTTTTAGCTTGTGGACCCTATAGAGGTCATAATTTTTATCCAATTTAAAAGGTCACAATTCTTATCAGATTTTGACGAAACTTGAAATATAGGTTTATCTCCAAAAGATCTTGGCTGCTTTCGATATTGGCATGTATCAGATCGAAACTTCATGGATTATGGCCCCTGTTTGTACGAAAAATCACGTTTTTAGCTTGTGGACACTATAGAGGTCACAATTTTTATACGCCCACATTTTCATGTGGACGTATTATGCCGTCGCCCCTGTCCGTCCGTCCGTCCACAATTTGTTTGTGGACACTCTAGAGGTCACAATTCTTATCCGATTTTGACGAAACTTGAAATATAGGTTTATCTCCAAAAGATCTCGGCTGCTTTCGATATTGGCATGTATCGAATCGAAACTTCATGGATTATGGCCCCTGTTTGTACGAAAAATCACGTTTTTAGCTTGTGGACCCTATAGAGGTCACAATTTTTATCCGATTTTGTTGAAACTTGAAAGGTAAGTTTATAACCCAAAAATCTCAGATCCTTTCGATATTCACGCATATCGGACCGTAACTTCCTGAATTATGGTCCCTGATTGTACGAAAAATCAAGTTTTTAGCTTGTGGACCCTATAGAGGTCATGATTTTTATCCGATTTAAAAAAACGTATTATTATATCACCTTTACACCCTAAGGACGACTGAGTTCGAATCGGCCCAAAATTGACAGAGAAAATGGCTCCCGTTCGTTCTCAAATAGCTTAAGAATATGGTATATCAAGGTTGTGGACCCTATAGAGGTCACAATTTTTATCTGATTTTGTTGAAACTTGAAATGTAAGTTTATAACCCAAAGATCTCGGTTCCTTTCGATATTCGCACATATCGGACCGTAACTTCCTGAATTATGGCCCCTGATTGTACAAAAAATTGCGTTTTTAGCTTGTGGACTCTATAGAGGTCATAATTTTTATCCGATTTAAAAAAACGTATTATTATGTCACCGTTACACCCTAAGGATAGCGGAGTTCGAATTTCGTGAAAATTGACCGACAAAATGGCTGCCGTTCGGTCTCAAATAGTGTAAACATATGGTATATCAAGGTTGTGGACCCTATAGAGGTCACAATTTTTATTGAAACTTGAAATGTAAGTTTATAACACAATGATCTCAGTTCCTTTCGATATTTGCGCATATCGAATTGTAATTTCCTGAATTATGGCCCTTGATTGTAGGAAAAATCACTTTCTTGTTAGCTTGTTCTCTATCCATCTCTCAAAATTTTGGGCGTATCCTGCCTGGCAGCCGCTGGTTATCCAATTTTGTTGAAACTTGAAATGTAAGTTTATAACCCAAAGATCTTGGTTCCTTTCTATATTTACGCATAACGAATTGTAATTTTCTGAATTATGGCCCTTGATTGTAGGAAAAATCACTTTCTTTTTAGCTTGTTCTCTATCCATCTGTTGAAAATGTGGGCGTATCCTGCCTGGCAGCCGCTGGTTAATACAGATGTGTTGTTTAACGCTACATGTACCTTACACTTCATTCTCGTGATTAAACAGTCGGTTACTTTACTAAGAATCACTGGTGTATTTAATGTAACAGGGCACCTGATTGGTTAAACTAACTTAAACCTGTCAGCAGAAATTTACAGAAAAGCCCAGTCAAGGGATCTATTGAATGTTGTAATACCATGGTAACCATGGCATGGTGAAGATGACTAACCAACTGTTATTGATAGCACAATCTCATCAGCTTAACTGCAGCAATTTGGGGTTTCATGTGCTTACTGTTTTAATTATACAAAAAATAATGTTTTGTGTTGTAGGATTTTGGTATTGATAAGAATTTATCAGACCGAATTAGAGAGTTAGAGCCTGAATTGAGAGGATCATGGGAGAAAGACCTGGAAGGTACATTATCATTGAAATCAACAGCTAGAGGTGATGATGCTGGTAAAATCAGTCCATTGGTAGATGATGACAGAATTAGACGATCTGAAAAATTGGCAAATGCTGCTGAAAGGTAAGACTAACTTAACACTGGTGGCTTAATTGTAGAATCAAAAGTAAGAACATCATTTAATGAACTATAACTCAGTTATTGATAGATACAAAGCCCCCCTATAGTAATACTAATAGTCAGGTAAAAATAGTTGTTTAGGAAGAGGGGAAACCTTTAAGGCTGCCGTCTTCATGTACACTGTGACTTGTTAACTTCAAAGGCTATGACGTAAAATTCATGCAGAGGTACATGTTCATTTGGTCTAGTATAATATTAGGTGTCACAGCTCCATTGCCCGCGTTGGAAGAAAGTTTTTTTTTTCCGGGTTTGTAACCTTTTTTGAACTTAACATCAAACCGGTGACTACTGAATCTTTCCTGTTCTTTGTTTTATATAATTTTTGTATACGTGTTCGTTTTATTTCTTTCATAAACGTCAATTTCCCGTGTTTTGCCGTTACGCAGAAAAATTTTGTCACGTTTTTAAATGAGGGTACCCCACTTCAAATGCTCGGTGAGGTCACTCATTATTAATATTTCTTTTTGATTTTAATATCATTAGAAAGATAATTGAACGATCTTACGATCGGTCGTGGATGCTTTGTTGGCATTTCGATGCTTTGTTGGCATTTCGATGCTTTGTTGGCATTTGTCACGTTTTTAAATGAGGGTACCCCACTTCAAATGCTCGGCGAGGTCACTCATTATTAATATTTCTTTTTGATTTTAATATTATTAGAAAGATAATTGAACGATATTACGATCGGTTGTGGATGCTTTGTTGGCATTTCGAAATACCATGCTTTTTTTTAAGTTGATCGCTTCAATTCACAAAATCGTTTTTGGAGGCAATTTACCAATATAGCACCCCCGACCGATCGAAAGTTTGTTTTATTTCCGTTTCGATGCTACTAAAATCAACAAAATCAGAGCATGTTAAGTGACCTCGCCGAATATTTGAAAATGATATACAATGAGCAATTTTGTCAAAAATAAATCGCGTAATTTTGCCTTGTTATGACGTCATTTCAACACGACAACAAAAATGTATTCCATGTTCCTAAGACTCATATTCGTGGTAAATTACGTCGAAATGCAACTCCGATGTTTATTTATAAAGTATGGGTTATGTTCTATCATTAAAGGACTTGCCCGAAAATAAATAACGATAGTTTAATTCCATTTTTTTTCACGCCTTTCGCAAGGTTGACTGTTTTTACATCACGTGACTCATATTCGCGCACTTTTACAACCACTTGACAGGATATAAAATCAAACGGAAATTTCCTCCCAACTACCACACGTCTCTAATTTTAACACCAAACATTTTTCAAGAATTGAAAAATTCCTTAACATTGACAAATGTTTTAATGCTCTGAAATCATAAATTCACTGTTCACTGAATTATTCAATTTTTGTTATTTTTCAAAATTTTCTAATTTGACCTACATTTTTGGATACCTGAAGTCCTTCCGATTCCAGTAATATAAGTTTCATTCCGAGTTATTGCCCTTTATTTTTCGATTTTTTTCGAATTTTCTGCCCATTTTCCAACCCTTTTATTGTTTTGAAAGCATCAATCGATCTTTCTGAAACTCTGGATTGTAAAGCCATATTGTCAGACCGTTGGATAAACAAAATTCAACAACGATCCGTAAACCGGAATAATGCTCGATATTTTGAAAAAAAGGCAAAAAATGCGTGCTTTTGGGAAAAACAGGATTTCTCCGTCCAATTTCAACGGATTAAACAAATTAATGTATCGTTGGGTATTATCTCTATTATTTGTTTATTTTAACAGATTTTCAAAAAAAAGTTATAAATTGAAAAACCTGACCTTATAGCGATTCTAACCATGTATAATATGTAGTCAGTTATTGAAATTTAATTTTCGATATTTTGACATTTTTGCATTTTTGGCACTTCTGAACATAGGATTTCTCAGGGGGATATTTTCTGATCGGTTAATTTAGTATATCATTATAAAGCCCTGTACCAATTCAAGTTCCAAAACCGGATGTTAAAACTACCCGACAATGATTCGTATACCGGAAGTAGTTTAAAAAACGAAAAAAATGGCGCTCTTGTTAAAAACTCGAATTCTCCATCAGATATTAGCGGACCAAAACAATTAAAGTGTTGTCGGATAGTCCCATGAATAGACTATCTTATGACCTCTAAATGATACGAATTCGATGGTTAGGAAATAAATTATGGTACGCGGAAAATCTAGTATTTTCTGTTTTGGTGCATTCTGAGACGCCTTTTTCTCGAAAACGACGCCAACGATTTTTCTTAAACTTTTCTTAATCAGAGTCCTATCGGTGGTCTAGGGTGTGAATCCAAAAATAAAAGCATTGAAATAATATAGGTGGTCCAAAAATGGCCTCAATCTTTGAAAAACGTTGAAAAATAGTGAAATTATTGAAAATGCTAAAATAAACACAACAGTTCTATGGATAACAATTACTATATTTCTATAAAGCTACGTTTCAACAATGATTCTCTTGTCGTTATCAAGCACAATACTGATACAGACGTTCGTTCGATCTTGGTGTTTAACGTCTGCTTCCACATAAGTGATATCGCAGAAAAGACATAGGAGAGCCGAAGCTGATTCCTGTTTTTTAGAATATGATTTTGCAATCTTTCCATTTGGCCTTAGGCCATGGGTTTGGTTTAGTGGGAAATTCTTCCCTTTATTTAATACAAAACATATCGTTTGGTAGATGATCTCGTCTGCTTCTGGATTGGTAGATGTCATCGTTTGGGGTTAGTGTTTAGGTGCCAGGCCCGTCTTATCGTGGCCTCCCCTTACTCCAATGTCCCACTCTCTGGGTTTGGTGTCAGTTTTATTTGCGGAATAGTGTTTAGGTGCCAAGTTCGTCTGACCGTAACTCCCCCTTACTCCACTATCCTGCTAGTTTGGTAGATGTCATCTTTGTGGTGTTTGTGTTTAGGTGCCAGGCCCGTCTTATCGTGACCTCCCCTTACTCCACTATCCCACTCTGTAGGTTTGGTGTCTGTTTTTGGTGGAATAGTGTTTAGATGCCGAGTCCGTCTGATCGTGACTCCCCCTTACTCCACTATCCTGCCAGTTTGGTATAAATCCCCTATGTAGTTTAGTGTTTAGATGCCGGGCCCGTCTAACCGTGACCCCCTCTTACTTCACTATTCTACTTAGTCCAACTGTGTCCATTAGGGCGTGGATTTGTTCGAAGATTTGCAGTTTCAGATCTGGTCTCGGGAAGAATAGGTTCTTAGTGTTGAATGGTATGTTGTTGGTCTCCATTGTTCTCACTAGTTCCCTTCTCTCCTCCTCGTATACCTCGCAGTCTACCAGGACATGGTTGGCGGTACATTCTTCTCCGCACTCACAGATGATGACTTGGTGTTTGTAGTCTCGCAGCCGCTCTTTCACCCTTAGCTTCGATATAAGTCTACAAATATCTCTTCTAGGGTGATTGAGTGTTGTCTTTGTGTAGATCTTGTCATCCAGCCGGAATCTGTATGTGTCAAGTTCAACGAGATTTAATTCCCAGATTGAATTGACGTGTCTTTTGACCATACTGTAGAGTGGTGCTGTGTCCTTGAGACCTTCATTGGCGAGTCGATCTGCCTCCTCGTTTCCTCTAATGTTGACATGTGATGGAATCCACACAAGTTCTACTTTGCTTCCCTTCTCTAAAACCCTCTGGTACAGCTGCCTGATTTCCAAAATGACTTCTGGTCTTGAGTCCGAGTTGTCATTTTGGATTGAAATCAGACTTCTCAGAGAGTCGCTTGGAATGACGAACTTACTAGTCTTTTGATGGGAAATCCATGATATAGCGTCACGAATGGCCACAAGCTCTGCAGTGTACACCGAACAGTTATTGGGCAGTTTCCTGCTTATTCCCTGTTCCCCGTTTGGCAGGTATATTCCAAACGAGCTGGTGCCCCTTTCAGGATTGCGTGAGCCATCCGTGTACACATGGTCCCAGTCATCAGATGGCCAGTTGTCTTCCAGGTGTTCTAGAGAGAAAGCACGTGCAGCATTGGGGTTGTTTTTCTTGTCGGTTTTCTGTAGTAGATCTAGATTAACCGGCGGTATAGGGAGCGTCCAAGAGGCGATCACTGGGGGGTCGTGTTCATTTATCACGAGCTCCCCACTGATACTGATACTGATACATATACACAATATACAATCAAAACATTCAATGAAACCATAAATTAGGAGAACAGTGACCTTTGATCTTGATGATGAAACCATATCATTAGTATAAACATAAAATGTAATGTACACATAGATGGAAACCACTTAATTAATATGGGGTTAAAACCCTAGATGTGTGATAAATTACCTTAACTATAGACAACCTAGAAACGCCATTAAATTGACTCTTATGTGATTATAATACCTAGCCGTACAACAGTATACATATATTTACAGAAACAGCTTAATAAATGTCCTATATAATGTTATGAGTGTACCCTCAAGAAGTGATGTCATCAATAATTCTTGTGTGCTACATATTAAATGTAACAATGTGTGATACATTAAACTAAATAGCTTGAAATAAGTAATACCCCTTGTGGGGTAAATAGTTATATGGATGTGGGGTTAACGTCTATGTTAATTTCCTGGTTTTGGTCTATTTGTGATTAATTCATCATAGGCTCTGGGGATATATATACCACTATCTCTATTTAGTTCTGGTTGATGTCTCTTTATTTGGACGGCCTCCATTAATCTACGGGTTTTCTTTTGGTTGATATTGTTGTTAAGGGTATTTACAGCTGACCAGTTCACTCTGTGGCGTGGATTATTTTTCAGGTGTTCTGATACAGTCGAGTCATTGGTGGTGCCTTTGGACTGGTGCTCTTTGAGGCGGATATCTAATGGCCGTTTAGTTTCACCTATGTATATTTCCTTACAGGAGCAGGTAATCTGGTACACAAATCCCTTTGGTTGGATAGGTATGGTTGGTCGGCATTTACCATTAGCGCTAAGGATATCTTTTATTGTTGTACCAGTGTAGA